ACACACACACACACATATATATATATATATATATATATCTATGATAAATGCAATTATATATATATATATCTATATACATATATAAAGCGAAATTTAAGGCGCTTTGAACTGGTAGGGTGTTTGTAAACTGGTTAGCTGGTATTTGTAGATGGTCGCATCTGTCAACAGCGATGGGTTGATAAGAATAGTAATGTAGTAAATATCAATACTCGCTTGGACTTTCAACAGCCACGAACACAATGAAGTATTTCACTCCCGCACGGGGATAAGTATAAAGCTACAAGATCACAGGCAATGTTAACACTGATTAATTTGACCAACTTAGGTGCGCCAAATACCGACATGTATGCTTGCACTTACACTGAAGATCTGCTGTGCATAAATTGTCAGAATGCAAACATCTGATATGATCCTTTTCCCGTGAATGGCCTACATCGAATAAATGTATTTGCCCAAAAAAAAACTTTGCCCATCATAAATTCCGTACAACAGTCAAAATCCCCAGCAGAACCACAATATCGAGCAATTTCCAGCCTCTCTTGTATGTTGGCAGTCTATATGCAATAATAGTCTTGTATGTCTTTCAACCATATACTAGTCGCAGCTTTATAATTGCATCCTATTCAGATTACACACACAAAATAATACACACAAAGGCTATGCAAATTACTCAAAAAATATTTGTTTTGTTTTGTAAAAAAAAACCCCCCAAACAAAAACAAATCATACAAAAACATAGCCTCCTAAATTGTACAAAATTAATTGTAAAATACTTTGCTGATCTCAGCTGATTAAAAAAAGCCCTATTTTTTTTATGACAGCCTATCCTCCAAGTCCCAACCCACCCGCAACTCACCTATGTAGGCTATGACCCAATTATGTAGCCGAGTCCGAGAGACTCCAAGACTCCGAAAGACCGAGGACCAAGGGTCCTGGTCACTACTTCTGTGTACAGTTAATATCTCACACGATAGGTCGAATATATTGTAAGTCTTTCGACCCGAATAAACGTTATAAACCCTTTTTTTTTTAAAGCTGTGTGGTTTCGGTGGCATATTTATTATGATTTGGTTTGCCGGGGTAAAGTTTCATATCAGATGCTTGTGTGCTTCTAAGATACTGAAAGCACAACTGCAGGCCTGTCATGATTTTGACCCATGCGCGTAGTGCGATGCTTAGGCCCACTCTGGCCCACTCCCGTGCGAGTATATTGCGTATAAACGAACTAAAACCGCGACCAACGAATATACGTTTTAATCTCCTGAACGTACGACGAAGAACCTTATATAGCGACGACCGTGCGTTTGGAGTGATTCCAGATAAACCGTTTGACCTGAGGGGTGGTAGTATAATATCGCTTATGGCCATATTCACGGGTGTTATGCTAGGAAGCACTATATGTGCTGAGGCCGCACGATATCTAGAGGAAACAGAGCTGTTCATACACGAAGATGACGATGATGAATGAAATGACAAATGGTAAGTGTGACGTTTGTTGTAGCGCTTTCACGTATTTGTCGTAATGATGTACTATCATGCTGATGACAAAGATTTTCGAGAATTTTCAAACATTTGAACGAGTGTATAAACTGCTCAATGTTTTCATTAATATGCACTTAATAGATGATGCAACTCATCAAAAACTATGTCAACGGCACCCTACACCTTTACAAATAAAAACACACACACCCTCGCACACACACACACAAACACACACACGCAGAGAGAGGCACACACACACACAAACACACACACGCAGAGAGAGGCACACACACACACAAACACACACACGCAGAGAGAGGCACACACACACGTGTACACACACACGTGTACACACAGGTACACACACACACACA